AAAATTGTTACCCTCTAAAGTTGGTAAGCTAATTATTCTAAAAATGTAATTTAAAACTTTCTGAAGATAGTGCTTCTAAAATAGTTCATTCACATATGAAAGGTTATCAGACCATTGACCAGAGGTGACCAGGAGGCATACACCTGGGAACGGATGCTCACATAAACAGTAAACACATACTACCTATAAAAGATATAACTGATTTTACAAGCTAGAGACTGGTTTTTGAAAAAAAGTATGAATTTAAAAATTGATGTTAGTAAAATAAGAAACCTGTCAGTCTGCACCTCTGATTATTCAACCTTAGAATTAACCGATATAAATAGAAAATTAAAATAAATCTTATAATAAGAATCTCATCCTCCCCCAAATAGTGTTAGTTATGATTTAAATTGATACTAAAACCATTGATTTGGGGAAGAAAAAGAGTCATATGGCTCAAAGAGGATAAGAAACTCTTTTCTCCTGTTCTCAAGATTAAAACAAAAAGACAGTAGCTTCAATTTATAGACTGTCTTTCAATAACAAAATTTCCATCAGTTATGTATGTATAATTTCCTAAACCCTCCCAAAGTAGGAAAGTTATTACTATTACTCTCACATATAAAAATCTCATTATGAAACAACAAAAATGCAAATATGAAAGGTCCTAAAAAGAAGAAAAACTCAGCCCTAATTCCACTTACATCAGCACAATCTCTGTTAGCATCTGAATGTACTTAGTGTTTTATTTTCAACTGCATGTGGCTTATGCAGAAGCTGAGGAACACCAAGTGACCTGTCTTTGTGGACATGGAATGAAAACCTTCCACCTGCTACAGTCCTGAAAGCACCCCTGGGCTGCCTGACAGGCAGAAAGGGACCATCAGCTGCCAAGGTGTCTACTACCACCAATGGAGCCACTGCCCTTAATCGTCTCCTCTATTTGCTCCCTAGACACAGTAAGTAATGGAGATGCAGCCCTGGGCAGCTAGAAAAAAAAAGTGCATTTCTTTTCTAAGTTCCCTCCTTTTCTAAAGAGAGCAAGTCAGGTGTCTACTACCACCAATGGAGCCACTGCCCTTAATCGTCTCCTCTATTTGCTCCCTAGAGACAGTAAGTAATGGAGATGCAGCACTGGGCAGCTAGAAAAAAAAAGTGCATTTCTTTTCTAAGTTCCCTCCTTTTCTAAAGAGAGCAAGTTTGGTAAACTGTGGACATTACTTTACTCCTTAGAGAAGTCTGAGACCAAGGCTACTTATTTAAAATTGAATAGAAAAATGTCCCTGGTGAACCAAATAAATATCTATTTTCAAATACTTTTGATGCTTCCTAAATCAGAGATTTCTCTTGATCTGAGAGAATGGTAATAAGAGCCTTGAAACAGCCCTAAATTTAGATTGATGTGGGAACCCCACTAGTCAGCCATGAATCTGCTATGTAGATGTTAGAGGCCAGGAATGACCAAGCTGACTCAGAAAAGGTAAAGGAAGCTTCAGATGTCCATAAAGAGCCACATGAACCCAAGGCCAAGTTGGAGTCAGATTCTTTGATGACACAAAGAATTTGGAAGCCCACCACAGGTAGTTCTGTCCTCAAGACCAAGCTGACACTCACAGTGGAAGTCAAAGACAGCTGCACAATCTGACCATGCAGATACAACAGCACAAAGAGCGATGAGCTGGTGTCTTACCTGTCCACAGTTCTGAAGGTAGCCTATTTGAAGAAGCCACATGTACAGATGAGCCACACCAGAAACACACTCTCCTATCCTACTGTAAAAAATGGTTTTAAAATACCACTGAGGGATAGTCTCACCCACTAACCTCTATTATATATTCAGTGAATTTGGTGCTATTCTGCCATATAGTGCATGGACACATTTCCTGGGTATTCAACAAACCACAGAGTGGCTCTAGCTGTTGAAGCACATAAATGTTACATGAACCTTGACCAACCCTGGGGCAAATTCATGGGATTGTGTTCATGGGGACTTCTATAGAAAAACAGAATAAACTTAACAATCAGAATAATTTTAAAATTGCTTCCATTCCATTGTATTACTTTACATGTAATAACTTTAACTACGTCTGCTCAGTTACTGTGTTCCATCCATATGAACCTGATAAAATTATACAAACTGCTGACCCTGACTTTGGTTTGTAGTTTTAAACTGTGATTCTATTACAAAGGGCAACAAATTTAGACTCAGAGCACAGCTGCGACTTTTTAGGCTCTATATGATGATTAATCATTGTCAATTAGATATTTAGCTTATAAAATGCAGAACTCAAGACCTCTGTGGTTTGTGTGTGTGTGTATATAAGTTATGGATGGAAAAGAAAGTAGAAAAGGCTTGCAAATTATAGGAAATTAAGTATGTTGATTACTGGGATATCAATAAATATTTTGTTACCCAAATATTAAGTTTGATGCAATAAGGAAAAGTAATAATATAGATCCTCTGTTTTTTGTAGGTACTAGTCTTTTTAAACGTCTAATTGTAGATGGAGAATTTCTGCAAATACTTTTGTATACAATTATCTTTTTAGTGTAAATTACCAATTCTGCTGTGCTTCATATACACCCAAACATCAACCTTCATAAGTAGTGAAATAAGTATAAATATCTAAGGGTGAGGAAGTCATCTGACCCCCAACTTAGTGTCATATTCCTAGATGAAAACATTTCCTCATGCATTCTGTGACATGAAAACATGCTGTTTTGAATATACAGGAAGATTTGCTAATTGCCTTCCAATTGAGAATTTCTGATTTTCTACTAGAATATTTCTTACTGACTTTAACATTCTCATTAAAGAAGTTCAACTGCTCACAGACTTTTTCTAGTAGCATTGAATTTAAAGTAAAATGCTATTGGCTTACCCAATAGGATGAATGAATATATATGTACACCAGTAAAATGCTATTGCCTTACCCAATAGTATGAATGAATATATATGTACACCAGTAAAATGCTATTGGCTTATTCAACAGGATGAATGAATATGTATGTACACATACACACATACACACACTGCAAACTTGAAAATCGCCTCAAACCTTAAAAATAATTTTTTAAAATAACCTAAGTGATGTATTTCTTACTAAGCATGGTTAACTGGGACACTGGCCAAAAAGGTCATTCCCTCTGTGTATTTCAACCTTCGTGGGAATTATGAGTTGCCTATTAGTGCTGGGGCACTATGCTAGGGGCATAATTCAGAAATTATGATAAATTTTGCTCTGCATTTTTATGGTAATTTAATTTCCTTTTCCCCCACTTTAAAAGGAAATTATAATTACCAATCTTTACTCACAGTAAATGGTAAAGGGCATTTCCATTTCACTTTGTATCACTGTAAGCTAAGAAAAACATTGATGAGTTTAAAAAAAAGTCACAGGGGGTTAGGTTATAACTCATCAGTGCTTTCTAACACAGACATGAATAATTTATCATCTGAAACCTGGAAGGAGAGTTTTGATTGTCACATGGGAAATCTTACTTGCCCATGGCAGAATCAAGTCACTGAAAATTGTGTAAGCTTTTCACATATATTCAAAGCCAGGAATGTATATGCAATATTAAAATATACACATACAATATAGACACACAGATTAACATTGCTGAAAGCAGAATTGATCACAAAGACACTTAGTCCATTATATAAAAATGCACTCTTTTTAAAAACTAATTTGTAAGTTTCTTTTTATTGATACAGCTCTGACTTAAAGATGCTGTAATAATGCTCTTCTTTTCCTCAAATAAAATTAGAAGCCTACCATCTCTGAACCCCACCAAGCTAAGAAAAAAAAGGGGTGGGAGAAAGGAAGTAAAGAAAAAAAGGATGAGGAAAAAGGAAAGAGAGAGGAAGGGAGAGGGGTTCCTCAAATAAAATTAGAAGCCTACCATCTCTGAACCCCACCAAGCTAAGAAAAAAAAGGGTGGGAGAAAGGAAGTAAAGAAAAAAAGGATGAGGAAAAAGGAAAGAGAGAGGAAGGGAGAGGGGAAAAAAAGCCTTTGTCAATTTCAATAACTAACTTCTATCACTGAGTAGAAATATACTGAAATGTAATTCTTTCATGTACTCAAAAACAGTATTTCATGATAGAATTTTTTAGTTACTTTGTCCCAGGGGTATTAGGAAAGATAGAAGTAGTCATAAATGTAATTTCTATCCATTTCTGTTTATTAGAGTGATGATAACCTTCTCACATCATATGACTACCCCCACATTCTGATTGGACTGACCCATGTCTCCCTAAGAAATCATTTTATGTTACTAATAGCAAAGTCTTTAAAAGTCCCCAAATCAACCATCTGCCTGAGGCTGAGGCTTGAGCTGAGCGTGGGAGATGGAAAAGGTAGCAAACTGTAGTTAGGCTGGCTATAGAGAACTGCCAATTGGACCCACAGCAGAGTAAAGGAAAAAATTGTAAATGCGAATAGTTAACAAACTATGAAGCAACATATAAACATTGTAATTATTAATGATAATGGCTAATGATATGATAATAATAAAAATAATTATAATATTTTCAATGTTGATTATTTTGAATAATCAACATACCCCAAATGCAACTACAGGGAATGAAAATCAATAATTAGTAGGCACCCAATTATCTTAAGTCTTTGCTTAAGAGCTTGGAGTTAGGAAACTCTCAGCTCCAAAATTCTACTCCATGCAACCTGACTAAACACTCACTTGCAGCTTGAGCAATTTCTGTTCTTAGAGTACAGAATCAAGCTGATTAATTTTTTTTTCAAGTTTGTAATTTCACATTTATTTCAATATCTTAAGTTATTTTCCTTTTTTCCTCACGATTGAACATACTGCATAAAGCCATTTTAATTTCACTGTACTAGAACAATTTAAAGTTTTATATAACTTATTCAATATTATTTCTTAAATACTGAGACTAAAAAGGATGTACAAAGCTTTACATCTAGTCAATGGTTCAAACAAAGATATTAAATGAAACTTTAATTAAAACAATTAATTGAACTAAGTTTGATGTTACCTCTGGTACTCCTAATTTTCGGCAGGCTTCCAAAAAGTTTTCCACATTTCTTCTGCACTTGGCCATGCTAAGTTTGGGCTATAAATGCAAATATACAGAAATCACATATTATTAAAAGAGAAACCATTTTAATAACAGGTTAAATTTAAAACTTTCTAAATGGCATAAGTAACGCATGTTTACTGGAGAAAAAGTAATACATGTTAATTGGGAAAAAAAGAAAATAATACATAAGCAAATAAAACAAAAAAATTACCCAAAACACACATCTACAGATAAAAACTATTAATATTTTTGGGTTGTAATTCTTCCAGATATTATGTGTGTGTATGCATACATATATGTATATATACATACACACACACTAGGGGTCTTCAAAAAGTTCATGGAAAATGTATATTATAAAAAAGCTATGCAAGCACTGCAAAATTTTTTGCACCAAAATAAACTCATACTAACTTGTTATAACATCTCTGAACAAGATCTAGTTTGAGGCACTAAGAAGGATAAGACATCAGTTTTAAAAGAGCGCCTATCAGAGCAACAAGAATTCTGCTAAAATTGAAGCAAGAACAAATATCAAATTTATAGTGAGGCTTCGGTAGGAGAATGGTGAAATCACTGATGCTTTACAAAAAGTTTATGGAACAATGGCCCCAAAGAAATCAGCAGTTTACAAATCGATTACTCGTTTTAAGAAGGGACAAGATGACGTTGAAGATGAAGCCCACGTAGTGGCAGACCATCCACAGCAATTTGCGAGGAAAGAATTAATCCTGTTCATGCCCTAAGAAGGGGACCAACAATTAATAGCAGAAACAACAGCCAACAACATAAACATCTCAATTGGTTCGGCTAACATGATTCTAACTGGAAAATTAAAGCTGAGCAAACTTCCCACTCAGTGGGTACCAAACAGTTGCACCCAGATCAGCTGCAAACAAGAGCAGAGCTTTCCATGGGGATTTTAAACAAGTAGAATCAAGATCCTGAAGCATTTCTTTGAAGAACTGTAACAGGAGATGAAGCATGGCTTTACCAGTAGGATCCTGAAGACAAAGCACAATCAAAGCCATGGCCACCAAGCGG